TGTTTCAATATATAATAAATCAAGCTTTTATACTCATTTCTGAAACAACTAGTTCCAATCATGTCAGAGTAATACAGAAAGGTATTTTGAAAGCCAAAAAGGGAAATATTGTTGGAGCTTTGAGAATAACAAACTGAAGAAAACAAATGCTTGAGATGCAGATAAAAGAGGTTCAACTGTGATGTAATGTAATGGACCATAACCTTATGCTGTTCTCTAATGGAAAAGGATAATGGATTTTACATTCTCATAACCCTCTTTGTTTTCAGTTAAGACTTTGGCAATAAAAGAAGCCTGGAGGGGTAGGTGTCAGACATATATAGTAGGAATGGAGAACCTCCCACACTGCCCATGTTGCCATCAACGTCAGTCACCATGAGCAGTTATCAGAGTGGAGGGGAGCTGTAGTCCAGCTACATGTGCCAGGTTGCAGACTCCCTTTCCCTGTTATAAAGTTGATTGGAGAGGAAAGGCTCTCTCATAACTTTAATAGTTAGGCAGGGAGAAGACCATAATCTAACAGGTGCAGCTTGTCATGCCAAAGTTTACCTCAGATGGCAATATCTGCTCCAGTACCCTTCAATGCCGTCCTACGTAAATTATTTATTTGTTTATAGGACTTCTAAAATTTGCCTTAAGAAGCCCTGGTGGCACAGTAGTTAAATGCCAGTACTGTAGCCACAAGGTTGTGAGTTCGATCCTAGGGATCCAAGGTTGACTCAGCCTTCCATCCTTTTGTAGGTTGGTAAAATGAGTATCCAGGTCGTTGGGGGCAATTGGCTTACAGACTGTAAATCACTTAGACAGTGCTGAGTTCATTAAGTGGTATAGAAATGTAACTGCTATTGCTATTGCTATTCCCATCAACTTACAGAGTTTCCATGCAGGAATTTTAGTCATGTACTTAAATACAATAAAAATCAAATTACCCCTACTAGAACAAAAGAACACTTAAAATGAATGCTAAAACATCAGATAAAATTGTTTCATTAAAATGACAGGTCAAATAAGTACTGATATGTATTTCATACTGTTCTATTCATTATTAAAAGGTCTTGATCTGACAGCTAAAATGTAGCAAGAACCTGACCAACTGGACATTCCTGGGTAGGGTATTCCACAGACAGGGTGACTACACTGAAATGCCCTGTTAACTCTTTTAAGACACAGAACTGAACACAGTTTTGCCAATGCATGCTTCTCCAAAGCAGCAAACACAGTTGGCATATGAAATTCAGTGCAAGTTTTTTGGTTCTGATCTCCATATTTCTGTTTTCATAATGTTGTTGTTGTGTGCCTTCAAGTCATTTCTGACTTATGGTAACCCTGAGGTGAACGTCTCACAGGTCATTCTGGGATGGAAAGTGTGTGACTTGCCCAGGGTCACCCAGTGGGTTTCCATGGTCAAGTGGGGAATTGAACCCTGATCTTCAGAGTTGTAGTTCAACACTCAAACCACTGCACCACTGGCTCTCTGGTTTTACAATAAACTGCCACATTTGAAAATGAGAAATCCATAGGCATGCCTTGATTCAAACCATCAGTTAGTCCTTTCAAAACATTCTGTATCTCATTTTCTCCCCTATGAATAGTTCTGTATCTTACTTTAGGATGATACATAAAATTAACCTTCTTCCATTCCACTGGCCTGCTGCTCTTAAAAGAGAACCTGGCTGTACTTCTTTGCTTCTATATTCTTTCACTGAAACACATCTTGTTTAGCTGGAGTGCCACCTGTGAACCTTTAACTGAAAGAGCCCTGTGGTTATTATAACAGATGTTGTTCAGAGGAAAGGTTGGTGTGTCTTCCCTTAATTTGGGTTTGGAAAGGTTGCTCTCCAATGGCTGAACTGGCACCAGCTCAAGGATTTTATGGGCATTATGAGCCAGTTCAGTCATATTAGCTGTAACAAGCACATTTGCATTTATGGAAATGTTCTGCAAATGGGGTGTCATCTACCTATGTTTGGCAGCACTTTACCAGATATAAAAGAAGAGATTGCTTCAGTGCATGAGCCAGTGTTGCTGAGTAGATGCTACAAATAGGATTCTACAAATGGACATCTCACCTCAACCAGAAAACTGAGTTGATCTAACCTCATGTGGTCTGTGTTCCCCTCCAAGTCTCTGTCTTTCTCTCTCTCTCTTATTTTTAGTTTTATAGCCAGGAAATATCAGTTATTTTAGTCAAAATAACGGAAATCACTGCCTTGGCAGATACAGTCTGTGCTAAAGAAGGGTGCATGTTCCTCCTCCTCCTCCTCCTCCTTTGCCTCCCTGTTCTGTGTAGCTGTCATAGTTGTACATTCTAGTGGCAGACTACAAAATTAATTTTGGTTTTCTAAGTCCTTCTTCACAAAATGTTCAGTCTAATCATTCTCCCTTTATAGGTGAACTTTGAAAAAGTCTTTCACTTAATACATCAAGATAGTATACCATGAAACTTTCCCATCCTGAGACACGTAAAATGGTGAAGAAGAAATGCTATAGCCTATGATGATTTACCTGCCAAAGTTCCTGGACCAAGCCTTCAGCATTTCATCTCAGAAAAGGAATTGTGCATGCAAAACTGGAGGTTTTGCCCAGTTGCAAAGATCCATCTAGAGAAGCCACCAAGCAAGGAGTTCTATATTTAAATTGTTACACAGCCTTGCATCTTGCATCTAAATGCAAGATTTCTGAATAGATATATAATAATAAATTGAAAAAATAAAGAGCATATGAATTTCCTTTTGTAATATAATGTCTTTGGACTTAGCTATGCTGTCTGGGCATAATGGGAGCTATAATTTGACATATTTATAGGACACTTGGTTGAAAAAAGCTATGTAAAATCCAACCACACCTGTAGTGTGCCACTGTTCTCTTTCTTTCTCAAAACATGCTTTTGTTCAAAAGGGGTAGAAGAAATATGATGACAACAGCAAGAGAACAACAGTTCTCAACAATGACAGTTTGATGATGGTATCATGCAAATGCCCCATAAAAAAGTGAATGAACAAAGAAGAGTGGTATTTCTGCAATAAATGTCTTGTGTGGATGGCACTATGAATCATTCATTTGTCATGTTCAGCTTCATATTATAATTCCAGTCTTCTGTACAATCACAGAGAACCAATAGCTAAAGAAACTAAAACAGCTGCAATTGTTCTTCTATGTGTTGTTCTGCAGATTTCTCAGTGGCTTTTTCTAGTACAGGTTGAGTCTCCCTACCCAGAATTCCAAAATCCAAACTACTTCAAAATCCAAAATTGTCCAAATGGGTGGTTGAGACACCTTTGTTTTCTGATGGTTGAACGTACACAAACTTTGTTTCAAGGACAAAATTATGTTAAAATATTGTATATAAAATTACCGTCAGGCTAGGTGCATAAGAAGCATAAATAACTTTCATGTTTAGACTTGGATCTCATCTCCAAGATATCTCATTATATATATGCAAATATTCTAAAATCCAAAAAACTTCAACATCAAAAATACTTCTGGTTCCAAGCATTTCAGATAAGGAAGACTCAACCTGTATCATCTTTTGGTTCCTTTATAGGGGAGGAAATACCCTTAAGTGAAAAAAGCTTACCTGTAAGATTTGTTGTTGCTAGTGTTCCTATGTCATGGGGCAGTTTCAGTGCTTCCCAACACCAAATTAGATATAAATAAGAATTAGCCATCGTTAACACCAAGGGGTGGGATTCATGCAGCCCTCCAGAAGGTTGTTGGACTGCAACTCCCAGCAGCCCTAGCCAGCATAGCCAATGATGAGGAATGCTGAGAATTGACACGCAACAGATTTTGGAGGGGCACATGATTCTCCCCCAACACAATTTCTCTTGCTGTATGTGTTCCTCTGAGATGATAAGCAAACAGGTGGCCAACATGACAAATAAGTGGCATATTATTTGTCTGCATTACCTCAGGTCCTCTCTGGCTCTGGTGCCTTCATTTTATTGCTGCAGTTTGACTGACTGTGTACAGACTTGTAACACTATTACAGAGCCTGTCGCAAAAAAGAGAAGAGAGTACATGTTGATCTGAATATATTTAGAACAGGAAATTTGTTGAGCTGTCCCTTGAATTAATTTTCTTTGCTGCCATTCACCACCCCACCACCCCAACATTGCCTACTATGAAATTTTCCAGTGTGTTCTGGGTTCTGAAAAGCTCACCAGATAGTGATGAGAGCAATAAATCAAAATAATATTGAGTAGAAAGCTAGATAGAAAGCCACAGGTAGAAAGGAAGGCTAGCTGCATCATCAAGATTCAATTCAATTTCTTTATTATGGCCATTCAGCCAGCACAAGATACAATACAACACTTCTTAATTGTATACAATAGCTTCTTACGAGAACATACCGATAACTACAAACAAATCCTAATTTGTACAAAGACAAAAATAGGACAATATAATTATCAAAACACCATGATAGCTGGAAATTCTAATAACTCAATAAGATGAAATGGTATGACCTCATACATTACTCTAAACGTATGGTACTATCCCTAGGACACTTTGGTTCAATACCTACAGTCATTCCCTTTAGCTGGGAGAAGGAAGGGATTAAACAGTATTACTAGTTAGTTACGCATCATCAAGATCATTTACAGGGCCAGTTATATCCCAGCCTCTCCCTATAAATTGACCTTGTGTTAATGACTGTTTCTGGTAAATTGTTTCCAGTGGGCTCTATAAATCTGTTTCTGTCAAATGTATTCCCATTAGTTATGGAGTGGAATGGAAATCAACCCCACCCCACCTCTGTGAGACTGTCCATAGATTTAGGCTGCTATGTGACAAAGGAATGCTGCAACATTATATTTAGATTAGCTTTCTCACAAACACTATATTCTGCCTCTCTGCTGCCTGAGACAGCCACCTTACTCTGCCTAATGGTAGGACTGGCCCTGAGGTGGCTGCCTCAGACAGCAGACTCTGAGAAGCATGAAACAGGTGCAACATGTGGAAGATCTCAGTCTCTCTAAAGGAGAGAATCCACAGCACCTATTTGGCTTTCATAAAATACATCCTAGATATTTTCACTAATAGGGACAACTCTTTATTAGATAGCAATTAATTGCTTCCAAAAACTCTTCCCTTCCCCTACCAGATCTGAACTATTGTACAATTAGTTGAACTCAATCTTCCCTCGATCTGTGCCTTCCAGTTGTATTTGGAAGACAGAGCCCATGTTCCCCATATATTTGGCTGTGCTTGCAGGGGGCAATGAGCATTGTAGTCCAATACATCTGGAGGATGCTGGATGGAGGCTGGATTAACATAAATCAAAATAATGATTGTAACTGATGATTCATTACTGAAGCAGCATATACCTGTGACTGTATTTCATGATGTTCTGGTAATATCTGTAGAAATGACTTCACCACTGTTATCTGTGCCTGGCTTATGACAAAGCTAGATTTTCAATAAAATATAACCGCCTCCATGCAGACTGATGAAAGTGATGCTATTAGGTAATGGCCAGTGTCTGAAGAGGATAAGCCTTCCTGTGATTTTTGTGACCTTTCCTGATCAGTACCAAGACCAGATTAAGGTGGATGGGGCCAGGAGCATCACTATGGGAATGTAGGGGGTGCGGCCTGCAGCAGGTGACAATGTAAGGGGAGGTGACACCATTGTTCCCCAGACATCTGCCTTTTGGCAGAAATGGTATCTGCCTGCTTCTCTTTAAAATGTTGAAGAGATGGGGTGAATGGGGTGAGGCTCAGTAGGAAGAGAAAGGAGAGGCCCCAGGTTTTAAATTTTCTTTTAATTTTTAATTTAATTTTTTTTTAAAAAAAAATTAAACTTTTCTTTAAAAACACCACATTTTACCAAATTTTCACTTTAACCACATGAATACGTTTAGGCTGTGCATGTGATATTGTAATTTAAAAGTATAATTTTAATTTTGCTAATTGTTTTTGTCACAACTATTGCCATTACATTTAGTGACATACAGGAATTACTATTTATGAGTAACATTAGTACAAAACATACTACCAAGAATTCTGTATGGTGCAATATGGGAGGCGATCAATGGGAGCGGGGTGACTCTATGAGTTGCTTCACCGGATGATGCCAACCCTAGTTGGTGGAGCCATCGAGAAGTAAAAAAAAAAAAAAAAAATAGCCCCTCTTTCATGGAGCTGTGTGAGCCTCTTCATGGAAGGGTTAGCTTTGCACTGCAGTAACATGGATTAGGCTTGGTGGCATACCCTCCAGCGTTCCACAAATGAAAACCAGATACATGTGAGCAAACCAATGCAAATTGTGGTCAAGACAGCAAAAGGTATTAATGAGAAAGAGCACACAAAGTAGGAGGGGCTGCAGCAGTTTGTTTTTGCCAGAGCCTACAGGGCAGAATAAGATTCCATTCCCTTCTTTCCCAGTGACATAATTGGATGCAAACTACTTTTGCACTTCGAACGCAGTATGCAGTAAATAAAGTAAGCTAAGGACAACAAAGGAAACTAGGA